TCCTCTGTTTTCTTCAAGAAGTTTTATTTTATTTTATTTTATTTTTAATTTTTTGAGACAGAGTCTCAAGCTTTTGCCCTGGGCATAGTGCTTTGGCATCAAAGCTCACAGCAACCTCCAACTCTTGGGCTCAAGCGATCCTCTTGCCTCAGTTTTTCTAATTTTAGTAGAGATAGGGGTCTTGCTTTTGCTCAGGCTGGTCTTGAACTCATGAGCTCCAGCAATGCACCTGCCTTGACCTCCCAGAATGCTAGGATTATAGGCAGAAACCACCGTGCCCGGCCTCTTCAAGAAGTTTTAGTGTTCTTGGTTTTATACTTAGGTTCTATGATTCATTTTGAGTTAATTATTATACAGGGTATCTATAAAGTTTGTGTGCAATTGCGCAAACACCCTGTATATGGTGCACGGTAAAGGTTGAGATTCATTTTTTTGAATATAAATATAGATATCCAATGGTTCTAGCATCATTTATTGAAAAGACTATCCTTTCTCTATTGAATTGCCTTTGCACCTCCATCTCTCTCTATATATGCCTATTTTTGAACTCTTTTCCATTGATTTGTGCATCTAGTAAGCAATTGTTTTTGTTTGAATGTGGTTGATTATGAAGAAGCAGCCAAGAGAATGTACGTCAGAGCCAGATTGTCTGGATATGAGATTAGCCTCAAGCACTTACTAATAGTGAGACCTTGGGCAGGTTATTTAGCCTCTGTGTACCTCGATTTTCTCATCCGTAAACAGATAATTATAGTATACAACCCTCATAGGGATTTTTACAGATTGAGTGAATGATTATAAAGCACTTAGTAAGATGCCTCGCATATAAATGTGGTGCTTCTTATACTCCTGAATCCTATTTGGTACTTATGTTCAGACTGGATTTCCAGTAAAATTTAATTACATTATTTTATCTCATGTTATCATTATGGAAGTTTAATTGTAGAGATGACTTTAAATGAAAGATTTGCATTGCTGTTCAGTCAAAGAATAAAATGTTCACTTTTTCTTTCTGTTGGGAAAATAATGCTTACCTTAATTTAAGAACATTAAGTTGGTATCAGATGAATTCCAATCCTTAAAATTTTTCTTTGATTTTGAAAGTATATCCACTACCTTTTAAAGAATGTAGTAAGAAATTCAGGCTAAACTAAGCTTACGTCATAAAATGGCTCTTGTGAAAAAGTAATTTAAAACATGGCCTTTCCATGTTTATTATTTTAGGTACTTTATTTGAGAACTAGTAACTTTTTTTTTTCTGTTTTTGGCCGGGGCTGGGTTTGAACCTGCCACCTCTGGCATATGGGGCCAGCACCCTACTCCTTTGAGCCACAGGTACTACTCCGAGAACTAGTAACTTTTGCAAAATTATTATGATCTAAGCTTCAGGTTGTTTATTATTTTTGTTGAGAAAAACTGTCAGGAATTGTTAAGGATATACGACAACATAAATCCTAAATTTCTCCTTAGAAGACTGTGTTGACAATCCAAGTAATTTTATACTACAGAACAATTAGGCTATACAATGAATTTTTCCCTATGAACTAAGAAAACTGGAGTGTCCAGAGAAAATACTTTGAATAGCAAATTACGTTTAATTCCTCAGCATTGGCTGCTATTGCGGACTGAATATTTATCAAACTTGTGTTGAAGTCCTAACCCCCATTGGGCTGTGTTCTGAGATGGGCCCTCTAGGGAAGAAATTAAGATTAAGTGAGGTCATATAGGTGGCATGCTGATCTGATAGGATTAGTGTCCTTCTAAGAAGATTCACCTAGCTTATACTCGCTCTCTCCCTCTCCGTCTCCACACAGAAGAAAGGCCTGGTGATAAGAGAGCAAGAAGATGGCTTTTATAGTCTGAGCAGATTAAAACAAGCTGCCATAACAAAATACCACAGACTGGGTGGCTTAAATAACACAAGTTTTTTTCCGAGATTGAGGTGCCAGCAGATTCAGTGTCTGGTGGGGGCTCTCTGCTGCCTTCTTACTGTATTCTCACAAGGGCTTTCCTCTGTGACTCATCCTTCTGCCTTACCTCATATAGCCATTGAATTACCAATTTGCTGATTCTCTTTCCTCCATATCTCTCAAAGTCATCCAGTTCTCTTCTTTATCAACTACAGTTCTAGCCCTTTCTGGACAACTACTATAGCCTCTCACATCCATCTATGTTCCATGTTTCCTTATATTTGTCAGAGTAATCTTACTGAAGTGTAAATTTCACTTATTCAGATCCTTCTGTGGCTCCCTATTGCCCATGTACAACTTCCAACCTTTATAATATGACCCCTGTCTACCTTTCTAGCTTCATCTACTACCATTCTTACAACATACCAAACCGCTTTCAGTTTTCTTCCCACTTCTTAAAGAATTTTACTTTGTTCCTTCTGTTAATTTTACTTGGCTTGAGAGGGGAGGTCCTTTATTCTCACCCCTTTTACTTGGTCAATCCTAGCTTATTCATTCTCACTTCATGCAGGAAATCTTCCATCTCATGCCTCCTCCCCACCCAGTGGGAGCTCAGTGTTTACAGCAGCTGTCCTCAACTTGGGGGTCAAGACCCACAGGAACTGTATGAAAGGGCCACAGCATTAGAAAGGTTGAAAACCACTGGCTTACAGAATATTCTCAGCATCTATCATTACATGATAGGGTTGTTTTTAAACTATCTGTTTAGGCGAGTGTTTACTTCTTTTATGGAAACGTAGTCATATTCATTTTAGTGCCCAGAACAATGTTGGGTGTCTTTGGTATAGAAAGAAAATTGGGTGTTTAAATGTTGATTGAGTGAGTCAAGATCTAGAAAGTTAAAGTGACTTTAAGATCACACTCAGAGGTAACAAAATTGGTACTGGAAAACAAGTACCTCTTTTATTGCCTCATGGTATAGACCAGTGTTCCTCCTCGTACAGTATGTAAAACTAGGTGGGTACAATATTTATCGTGTAATTACTAATAAGTCACTTTAAGTTCATTTGTTTAATGAATATGATGATTAAATTTTGCTTTGTAAATCTAATTTTTACATACTGTATCTGTGGGAGCCTATCTATAGTGCAGGAACAGCTTGTATGAAATTTATATATTCACAGTCAAAACAGTTCACTTGGGCCAGGCATAGTGACTTATGTCTTTAGTCCCAGCACTTTAAGAGTCTGAGGAGGGGCTCGGCGCTTGGGGCTCAAGTGGCTAAGGTGCCAGCCATGTACACCCAAGGTGGCAGGTTCGAATCCAGCCTGGGCCCGCCAAACAACAATGACAGCTGCAACCAAAAAATAGCTGGGCGTTGAGGCGGGCGCCTATGGTCCCAGCTACTTGGGAAGCTGAGGCAGGAGACTCGCTTGAGCCCAGGAGTTGGAGGTTGCTGTGAGCTGTGATGCCACGGCACTCTACCCAGGGGGACAGCTTGAGGCTCCTGTCTCAAAAAAAAAAAAAAAGAGTCTGAGGAGGAAGGATCACTTGAGCCCAGGAGTTCAGGTCCAGCTGGGCAACATAGTGAGATTCCTATCTCTACAAAAAAAATGTTTAAAATTAGCCAGGTGTGGTGGCACAAGCCTGTCGTTCTAGCTACTCAGGAAGCTGATGTGGGAGGACCATTTGAGCCCAGGAATTCCAGGTTATATGAGCTATGATTTAGCTATTGGACTCCAGCCTGGGTGATAAAGCAAGATGCTATCTCAAAAAGGTCACTTGAAAAAAATCAAAATAGGCTAATAACTGTAATTTTATAGGTCAGTTAAAATAAAAACTTAATATGATAGATTCCAGGAATACTGTTTTAAAGATTATGTGAGCTATAGTTCTTAAAATATCTAAAGATGGAAATGACCAAATTTGAAAAATTACATTTGTATAGCTCAATAAATGTTTGAATCAAATTTGTAGATGCAAGCACTGATGTATTATGATTCTTTTGCCTTCAGATTTTTCTATTTTCTGTAGCATAGTACAGAAATCAGAGTTTAGAAATTAAGACCCATCCATTGATTTGCGGAAGGATAGAGAGATATAGTTCAGTCTGGGTACATTTCCAATTTCAGAATTGTTTGAAAAGTAGAAGTTTTAAATGTAAAACATCAAAAAAGGAAAAAGTGTCAGAAAGCTGAAATAGCATGTAGTTATTAAGGTAGCTAGATACATAGGATTATGCGTTTAATTTTTATATCCCCCTTTATCATTTTTTAAATAAATTCTTGACCCTGGTACTCTACAAAGTTTAGTAAATATTTTGGTTATATAAATTGCAAATAAGCTAAAAGCCTATTGACAGTAGCAGTGATGATGTGGGTGTTACCTGGGTTAAATTATAAAAAGACTCAAACCATAGAGTCATAGAAGCTGCCCTTTTAGTTTTGCATGCCCAGAAATACAGTTTGATAATGAAAATAGAGTAGATTTATCCCCTGGGATGTATGTATGTTAACCAAGATTATAAGTTTTATGTTATAATGAAAGTTTTAGTTGCCAAAGGAATCATATACTTGAGTCTTCCAGGTGGATATCTTTTTCCTATAGATATGCCACACACTAGGCTAATAATTGTAATTTTTAAGTGCTAAGGCCCTTCCCCCCCATGTAACCACAATGCCATTATCACATCTAACAATATGAAAAATTCCTTACTATCATCTAATATGATGTGTGTGTGTATTTCTTTGATTGTCTCAAAAAGTATATTTACATTTGATATATTTGAAATAGCATCTAAACAGTGTCCACAACATTGTATTTGGTGGGTATGTCCTTCAGTCTTTATAAGTTTCCTCTTCCTTTTTGCCCTTATGCCTTTATTAGGAGAAAAAAAAAATCCTGTTTTTTTTTCTTACTACATTGCAAATTCAGTGAGACTAGGAACTTAATATTTATTTTTCACTTAAAGAGAAGCAAAGTAATTTATATTTTAGCATTATAAGAACTATGCCTGGCCCCAGTAAGCACTTAATTGATATTTGTTGAATAATGTTAATAATACTAAAGGTCTATGTTTTATCCTTGCAGATTGATCTAAAAGACTACATGTTCAGTGGACTGAAGGATGAAACAGTAGGTCGCTTGCCTGGGAAAGTTGCCGGACAACAGTTTCTCATTCAAGACTGTGAGAACTGTAACATCTATATTTTTGATCACTCGGCTACAATTACCATTGATGACTGTACTAACTGCATACTTTTTCTGGGACCTGTGAGAGGCAGTGTGTTTTTCCGGAATTGCAGAGATTGTAAGTGCACCTTAGCCTGCCAACAGTTTCGTGTGCGGGATTGTAGAAAGCTGGAAGTCTTTTTGTGCTGTGCTACTCAACCCATTATTGAGTCTTCCACAAATATCAAGTTTGGCTGTTTTCAGTGGTACTACCCTGAATTAGCTTTTCAGTTCAAGGATGCGGGGCTAAGTATCTTCAATAATTCATGGAGTAACGTTCATGACTTTACACCGGTGTCAGGAGAGCTCAACTGGAGCCTTCTTCCAGAAGATGCAGTGGTTCAGGACTATGTTCCTGTTCCTGAAGAGTTCAAAGCTGTCCGTGTTTCCACAGAAGCCAATAGAAGCATTGTTCCAATATCCCGTGGTCAGAGACAGAAGAGCAGTGATGAATCATGCTTGGTGGTATTATTTGCTGGTGATTATACTATTGCAAATGCCAGGAAACTAATTGATGAGGTAAGGAAAAAGAGTAGTGGAAAAAATAGACATACACCTAGATAAAAACATACCACTCTGGAGATCTTCTATTCATTTCAAATTGTCTATTAAAAATAGTGACAGACCTCAAGTTATTGTTCTGTGCACATCCCCATGCCATTAGATGTGTCTGTCAGCCAATTGCTTGGGCCTCAAGATACTTTCCCAAAGAAACTTTAAAAACTTGTAATTCAATTCAGTAAGGATTTATTAAGCACTGATTATGTGCAAGTTACTCTGTTACTGTATTTCATTGATTATAGTATGCAGTTTGTTTTCCACATTTTTGCTTCTCTGAAAAGCATCTTACAATTGATGGCAACTTAGAAATGAAGAAATACAGTATATGCTAGAGATAGAGATATGTAGACAAAATTCTCTGCCCTCAAAGCGTTTACATTCTTTATAATAATTGATTGCCAAGCACACACCTGTAATCCAGCACTTTGGGACACTGAAGTCAGAGAATCACTTGAGGCCAGGAATTTGAGACTAGCCTAGCAACATAGTGAGATCCTATCCCTACAATTTTTTTTTTTAAACATGCTGAACATGGTTGTGCACACCTGTAGTCCTAGCTACGTGGAAGGCTGAGGTAGGATGATCCCTTGAGCCCAGGAGTTTGAGGCTGCAGGGACATATGATTGCACCACTGCACTCTAGCCTGGACTCTGTCTAGCAAGACTCTGTGTCTAAAAAAAAAAGTGAATGAATAATTTCCAGAGAAACTCACAAAAGTAATACTACATAGTAAAGCATGGCCTTTTCAAATTATTTAGTGGGGAAATTTCTTTGGAGTTCTAATTGATTAGGGGTAGAAAAGACAATTTCAGAGTACAACTTCTGAACCCTGTTACTGTGAGATCAGTCTCCACAGTGCGTTCTTTATTTTTGTTTGCCTTATTGCTATAAAGGGGAGGTTGGTTATCATGGAAGAGTAAGATAGGACTTGGGTTAGCAAAGGTTGTAGGCTCATGAGGAACAGCTCTTGATGAGTTCATGAGTAGAGAAGGATTCTTTGGGCAGCCGCTTCTGCTTGAGAAATAATTGAGGATATAGAAGTTAGGGGCTCAGGAAGCAGTAGTTTCTTCCTTTGTTGGTGGGTGCTCCAGTAGGAAGCCAGCAATAGGATGTATTAATCATCCTTAATCAGGTGTGCTTCAGAAGGAATCTGTTTGAACTTTTAAAAAATGAAACTTCCAGGCTCAATTCATAATAACCAAGTCGTGGAAGCACCCTAAGTGCCCATCAACCCATGAATGGATCAACAAACGGTGGTATATGTATACCATGGAATATTGTGCAGCCATTAAAAAGATGGAGACTTTACATCTTTTACATTTACCTGGATGTAGTTGAAATACATTCTTCTTAGTAAAGTATCTCAAGAATGGAAAGATGAATATCTAATGTACTCCATACTAATATGAAATCAATATATGAACAATTACATGTTCGGCTTGGTGCCTATAGCACAGTGGTTATGGCACTTGCCACATACACTGAGGCTGGTGGGTTCCAACCCAGCCCAGGCCAGCTAAAAAATGACAACTTGCACAAAAAATAGCCAGGCATTGTGGCGGGTGCCTGTAGTCCCAGCCACTTGGGAGGCTGAGGCAAAAGAATCGCCTAAGCCCAAGAGTTTGAGGTTGCTATGAGCTGTGATGCCACAACACCCTAACGAGGGTGACAGTAGTGAGACTCTGACTCAAAAAGAAAAAAAAAAAAACAATTTCATGTTCCTGAGAACGATAAAACACTATTATAGTCCAGTTTGGGGGTAGAGGGAAGCGGGATGGGAGAGGATATATAGCAGAGGGAGGGAGGGCATGGGACCTCACCTAATGTGCACATTGGGAGGATGTACAACACACCCCCTTGGTGAGGGGCTCTACTTCTTGGGGCACCAAAAATAAAAAATAAAAAGAAACTTCCAGAAATGGAGAAATGAGTAGAAAACTCATCGAGTCTCTTTTTTTAAAAGTTAAAACATGTCAAAAGGAATCATTTTATGAAAAAAAAAATGAAAAATGACTACCTCTCTATAGCTATACATTCTACAGCGTAGAAAACCCACGTCTGGAGTTTTCATTCTGAAGATTCCCTGTTAAATTAAATTTGTATCTTCTTCCCCCTATTAAAAAATAAAAAAAAGAAAAACCATATCTGAAATCTACAGAGTATATCTGAGGTTTTCAAAACAACAGAAGCCAAAGTATAATTTTAACACTTTGGTATTTTCTTTTTTTCTATGCTAGTCTGCTGAAAGTATACTATGAATCTGGTAAGATAACAGAAAAATGTGCTTGTGTTTTTTGTGCTATTTAATCACGTTAATCTAACTTCTGAGGGGTATTTCCATTATCTTATATAGTAATTTCGTTTTAAATCTACATACAGTTTCAAAAGATATAAATTATTTAGGTTAATCTTTTTTGGTAGATAACAAGGAATAGACATAAATAATATTTAGCATGCTTAAAGAAAAAACCCATCAAACCAAACAGTCTTTCTTCATGAATCATCAGTGTCCTTAATCTTTTAATCTTTGTTGTCTGGTGTGTAATGTTGTTTGTCCCTGAAAGGAATACAGTCAGGAAGAGTGATGTTCTTTAGATGTCCTCTGGAATGCAAAATAAAAATCCTATAGTAGGCAGCACCCGTTGCTCAGTGGGTAGGGTGCTGGCCACATACGCTGAGGCTGGTGGGTTCGAACCCAGCCTGGGCTAGCTAAAACAGCAATGACAACAGCAACAACAACAAAAATAGCTGGGTGTTGTGGCGGGCGCCTGTGGTCCCAGCTATTTGGGAGGCTGAGGCAATAGAATCGCTTGAGCCCAAGAGATTGAGATTGCTGTGAACTGTGACGCCATGGCACTCTACCCAGGGCAACAGCTGAAGACTCTCTCTCTCAAAAAAAAAAAAAAATCCTGGGGTGGTGTCTGTAGTTCAAGGAGTAGGGTGCCAGCCCCATGTGCTTGGGGTGGCAGGTTCAAACCTGGCCCTGGCCAAAACTGAAAAAAAAAAACCCAAAATCCTATAATAGTAGTCATAATAATGATAGCTAACACACAGTGTTTACTATATGTCAGGCACTGTTATAAGGAATTTAAATGCATTAACTCACTACTCAAAACATCCCCTATAAAATGTATCACTATTTTCCATTGTATAGATAACAGAAAATGAAATGTAGTGAGGGTAACAACCTTGCAAAAGGTTACTCAGTTGGTAAACAGCAGAACAATAATTCAAATCCAGGCAGTCTGACTATGTAGGCCATAGTCTCAACCATACTATTATGTTGCCTCAGTGGTGCAGGAAAACCTGGTAGAGTAGGAACTCGACCTAAAGCATGTGGATTCAAGGACTCTCTAGCCTAGGGACTCCTTGGCTAGAATTATCCTAATTTTGGAAGTGCAGAATCAAGGAATGAGAAGAGAACAAAACTAAATGAAAATGCCAAGTACATATGAAAATGGCGTCAAAAGATGCTGAAAGATAAAAGATTTACATATTATGGTGAGAGTAATTACATTTTTTAAAAATGAAGTGCATTTCCCAGGGAAATATGTATAGAAACTAGTTAATTCCAAGATGAAAATAAAACTTGAGTTTTTTCTCATATCATAACACAAATAGCTTAGACTGGAACTGTGATTGCTAAGTCTAGTTTTGTTAAACCCCAGGAGTATCACAGAATTTTGTTTCACATTGTTTTTATAAATTAAACATAGTGGTTTTTTGAGATAGGAAGTGTAAAATTTGTGAGGGTAGGAAGTCCAGAAAGGCTGAGTAAAGCAGACAGCACATTCCTTAGAAAATTAAGAAAAGTTACTAGGCCTTGATTTTCTCACCTAAAAATCAGATTTCCTGCTTGCTGTTTCCTACATCGTAGATATGTACAGGATAAATTAGAATAAATGTAATTTGGATTGTTTGGGAGTATTTCATAATTTAAGTTAGATAATTATGACTATTTCCAAGTCTTTTTTTTTTTGTTGTTAAATCATAGCTGTGTACATTAATGCAATCATGGAGCACAATGTGCTGGTTTTATATACAATTAGAAATATTTTCATGAAACTGGTTAACATAGCCTCCACGGCATTTTCTTAGTTATTGTGTTAAGACATTTATATTCTACACCTGGTAAATTTCACGTGTACCCTTGTTATTTCCAAGTCTTTAAAAGTAGAATTTTTATGAAATCTCTTCAAATATCTGCAGTGAAATAGTAAAAAAAAAAAAAAAAGTTTCATAGTTCATTTGTTTTAGATAATGGTATTTGAATTAATCATTGTACTCTTCTCAGTTTGTATCTGACTATAAAATGAGAGATAAGTAATCTAGAAAATAAGAAACAGGTAGGATTGTTTTTGATATTTTAAGTAACTTTACAGTCACCATCCAACAGTGATGTCCGTGTAATTTTCTGCAATTTTTAAATGTATTTTTCTTTTTTCTGAGGCAGCATTGAGTGAGGGTCCTGAACTAGGATTTGAGTTTAATCCGATTTGATGGAGTGATGTAGAATAATGTAGCCATAGGATGAAATACTATCAGCCAGTAAAATTGATTTTATTATGGAATAGCTGGAAAACGTCACAAGTAAGTGAAAATTTGTAAAATGTTATATAACTATTTCTTTAAAAAAGTAGACAGAGTCTGGAAAGTTATATATATTAAAATGTTAACAGTTGTGGTTATTCTCAGTTGATTGAAGAGCAGGGTTTTCTATTTTTTTTTTTTTTTGTAGTTCTATGGATTTTACAATGAGCATGTATTATTTTTGTAATAGAGGAAAAAGAAAACTGAGAGGGTAAAAGGAAGAATACCTATATGGTAGCGGCATCTTTGAGTTGTAGCACCTTCGTTGATATTTCTTTGTTTCTGTTTTTTTTTTATTTTTCAAATATTCCATGTTGAGAATATATGTTACTTTTTTTTTTTTTTTTATGCTTCATAGAGCCTACTTTTGCAGTTTTGGCCGGGGCCGGGCTTGAACCTGCCACCCCAGGTATATGGGGCCGGTGCCCTACTCCTGGAGCCACAGGTGCCACCCAATATATGTTACTTTTTATCATTAAAAACCTAGTAGGATTTGCTTAAAAATTAAGTGGTTGGAATGGCTTTCCTTTTTAAAAACTACTTTCATAATTACTTTTTTTTTGTTTTTGGCCGGGGCTGAGTTTGAACCTGCCACCTCTGGCATATGGGGCTGGCGCCCTACTCCTTTGACCCACAGGCACCACCCCATATTACTTTTAAAATTTTTACTCATTGTAGAAAACTAAAGAAATAAGAAAGAGTAAAAATAAGTTTAAAACCCATACATAATTGTACTATACTTTATTCAAAAGTCTTTTTAGGAATAATTTTTTAATTTATTTACAACCAGATTAAATGAGTTTGAATCACAACTCTGTCACTTAGTAGTTATATAACCTTAGGGAAGTTTCTTTTTTTAATTAAATCATAGCTGTGTACATTAATGTAGTCATGGGGTACAATGTGCTGGTTTTATATACAATTTGAAATATTTTCATCCAACTGGTTAACATAGCTTTCATGGCATTTTCTTAGTTATTGTGTTAAGACATTTATATTCTACATTCAGTAAGTTTCACATGTACCCTTGTTAGATGCACCGTAGGTGTGGTCCCACCAATCACCCTCCCTCCACCTCTTCCCCCCTCCCCTCCCCTCCTTGGGGAAGTTTCTTAATCACTCTGTCTTAGTTTTCTTATCTGTAAGATGAAGGTAATGATATTACTTCATAAGAGTTAAATGTATTGGCTCGGCGCCTGTGGCTCAAGTGGCTAAGGCGCCAGCCACATACACCTAAGGTGGCGGGTTCAAATCCCCAACCTGGCCCGCCAAACAACAATGATGACTGCAACCAAAAAATGGCCGGGCGCTGTGGTGGGCGCCCGTAGTCCCAGCTACTTGGGAGGCTGAGGCAGGAGACTCGCTTGAACCCAGGAGTTGGAGGTTGCTGTGAGCGTGATGCCATGGCACTCTACCCAGGGGGATAGCTTGAGGCTCCATCTCAAAAAAAAAAAAAGAGTTAAATGTATTATACATGTAAAGTGTATAACACTGCCTGCCTCACATAGGAAGTGTGCCATAAATGTGATCTATCATTTTGTTCTAAACTATAAAAATTTGTATCATGCCTTTTAAAATTAACATTATTACCTAAGCTTTTCTGTCTTATTTTAATGTCTTTATTATGTTTAATGCACCATGATAGATGTAGTAAACTATGGCATTTCAACATGTGGATGTACCATAATTTACTGAGCTATTCTCCTTTCATCGGACATTTCCAGTATCACTAACCTAATGCATCCGTCTGGTAGTTTCAGGAAAAAAGCAATTTTTTAGTTATGTGTTAAATCTGAAGATAATTCACATTTATTTGACCCTTAATTTTAAACATGGGGATTACAGTACTAATTCTTAATCAGAACCGTCCATCTGGAAGAAAGAATCTTGTATATGGGGGAACATGTTACAGCAAGCACCCCAAATTAGCGCCATAACTAAAACAAAAAGACATTGTGCTATGTTGCATTTTATACAGAAAAAATACTAGAATAAGAAAACATTGTTTTAGTTTCAGAAGTTCATTTTAAAATCTAAATGAAATTTTATTTCCACAGATGGTTGGTAAAGGCTTTTTTCTAGTTCAGACAAAGGAAGTATCCATGAAACCTGAGGATGCTCAAAGAGTTTTTCGGGAAAAAGCACCTGACTTTCTTCCTCTTCTGAACAAAGGTACTTTCTGCATGATTGCTATACTTTTGTGGTTATTTTCTTAACATGGTGATTTGATTTACTCTTGCTTTTAACATTTCTCTTGCATTGCCTTCACTTTCCAATTTGGTCTATGTTTTTTCCTATTACTGTTCAGAAAGTCAAAATTTTGCATCACTTAAGGAGCCCTATATAACTAACTAGAAATTAGGAATTGGTTTTATTTTCCCATGTTCTTAGTACTTGAAAGCCATACTTTATTATATATTTATTATTATTTTAGTATTGTTGTAACTTTGAACTGTAGTGAGTAAACATTTCATACTCCCTGCCTAGAGTTGCAAAGAGTTTGATAAAGATTCTTTGTGCCTTCAGCGGGCTTTGACCATACTAGAAAAGAAATAAGAAATAAAGTGGTATTGTCTTATGTATTTAATAAGATCAATTAATTTCCTCTGTGTAATTAGAATTATTTTCCCCAATGGGTGAATGCCACTAATAAATTTGAAATACTGCTTATATGTCTACAAAGAGAGGAACTAGCATTCATGTGCCCTCTTGAAGGGTTGCTCTCTATATTTGAAAGTATACTGATTCTCAGCAGAGAACTTATTTGCTCAAAGCTTATCAGGCTTTTCTTGACTAGCCTTAGCAAATATGTGTAGTAAATATGCAATGCTGATTGGGTATACCCTAGAGAAGGCACACCTGCATTTATATGTTCTTTATGAATAAATAAATTATATACTTGATCTTAGCTAAAAGGCCAGGAAGTGATGAATAAATAAATTATAATAAATCACAAAACTCAGGTGGCGCCTGTGGCTCAAAGGAGTAGGGCACTGGCCCCATATGCCAGAGGTGGCGGTTCAGCCCTGGCTCCCCCCCAAAAATAAATAAATTACAAAACTTTGTATGAAAATGTTGGTTTGTTAGGATAATTTTAATAAGTAATGGCATAACTCCCTGTTAATTATTAATATAGTATTTCTTTTTTTTTTTTTTTTTGAGACAGAGCCTCAAGCTGTCCCCCTGGGTAGAGTGCCATGGCATTACAGCTCACAGTAACCTCCAACTCCTGAGCTCAAGCGAGTCTCCTGCCTCTGCCTCCCAAGTAGCTGGGACCACAGGCGCCCGCCACAACGCCCGGCTATTTTTTGGTTGCAGCCGTCATTGTTGTTTTTGGCGGGGCCGGGCTGGGGATTCGAACCCGCCACCTTAGGTGTATGTGGCTGGCGCCTTAGCCGGTTGAGCTATAGGCGCCGAGCCTAATATAGTATTTCACATACTTTTGTGGTTACTGTAGTCATAGTAAGGACTTGCTCTAACCCAGTGCATGAATCTATCCCAGAATTATATAAGAATTTATAACCAGGCCCCTTTGATGCAACCAGTTTGATACAGGAACATTCTAATGGAACCTTGAAAATGAACCTTAACTGTCAGCAGCTTTTAGACATTGAATCAAGTAATAGGCATAATGAATATCCTAAAGTATGAGGGTTAGGAATAAATTAAGCCTATGAGGTTTAAATAATGATTCACGTACATGTGTGATATTAGTATAGAATTACTCCAACCCAAATGTAACATCTGCATTTAAGTAACAGAACATTCCATATGGAAGAAGTAAAATGTTCTGTTGCTGCAAAAAGTAGAACTAAAACCAATAAACAAATATTACAGGAATTTCAGCAAATAGACATAATATAAACAAGTCTTAAAAACAAGAGATCCCTGGCTTGGTGCCTGTGGCTCAAACGGCTAAGGTGCCAGCCACATACACCTGAGCTGGTGGGTTCAAATCCAGCCCGGGCCCGCCAAACAACAATGACGGCTGCAACTAAAAAATAGCCAGGCGTTGTGGCAGGCACCTGTAGTCCCAGCTACTTGGGAGGCAGAGGCGGGAGAATCACTTGAGCCCAGGAGTTGGAGGTTGCTGTGAGCTGTGATACCACAGCACTCTACCCAGGGCGACAGCTTGAGGCTCTGTCTCAAAAAAAAACAAAAAACAAGAGATCCCTATAGAAAAGTATTTGAAGAGTGATAAATTGTCAAAAGATCACAGGAACCAGCTTGAAGGAGTTTCCACAGAACAAATTTGGGACAATATTACCATTAAAGAGAATAATGAAGGTAAAGATACAACAACAGAAATCCATGCATCCATACTGATAAACAAAAAAGGGGGAAGAGAATAAAGGCATGCTCATTTGGTTATATGTATTATGAGCTAATAAATGTACAAGGAATGATAGACTTTGAAAATCACCATTTTCTAACCCTGTAATAATTGCATATTTCAGACAAAGATTATCAGTGGATGCTAAAACTATTAGGATAAAAGTTGCCAAAAAATAGAATATTTATGTATTCTTTTTTAAAATTAAATGATAGCTGTGTACATTAATGCAAACATGGGGTGCAGTGTAGTGTTTTCATATATAATTTGAAATATTTTCATCAAACTGGTTAACATAGACTTTATGTCATTTACTTAGTTATTGTGTTAAGACATTTATACTCTAGTTTTAGAAAGATTCACTTATACCCTTGTAAGACAGACCACAGAGGTGATCTTTCCAATCACCCTCCCTCCACCCATCTGCCCTTCTCCCCTCCCTTCCCCCACTCCTCCCCATATTCTTGGGCTAGAATTAGGTTGTAGTTTTCATTTGAGAACTATAAATTAGTTTCATAATAGGGCTGTGTACACTGGATACTTTTTCTTCCATTCTTGTGATACTTTGATAAGAAGAACATTTTCCAGTTCCATCCATGTAAACATAAAGGAGGTAAAGTCTCCATCTTTCTTTAGGCCTGCATAGTATTCCATGGTGTACATATACCACAGTTTATTGATCCATTCGTGGATCGATGGGCACTTGGGCTTCTTCCATGACCTAGCAATTATGAATTGGGCTGCTATAAACATTCTCATACAAATATCTTTGTTGTAATGCGATTTTTTTTGTCTTCTGGATATATACCTAATAAAGGAATTGCAGGATCAAATGGCAGGTCTATTTTTTTTTTTTTGAGACAGAGCCTCAAGCTGTTCCCCTGGGTAGAGTGCCGTGGCATCACAGCTCACAGCAACCTCCAACTCCTGGGCTCAAGCGAGTCTCCTGCCTCAGCTTCCCAAGTAGCTGGGACCACAGGCGCCCGCCACAACACCTGGCTATTTTTTTGGTTGCAGCCATCATTGTTGTTTGGCGGGCCCAGGCTGGATTCGAACCCGCCACCTTAGGTGTATGTGGCTGGCGCCTTAGCCACTTGAGCCACAGGTGCCGAGCTGGCAGGTCTATTTTTAATTCTCTAAGTGTTATCCAGATGTCTCTCCAAAAGGAACAAATTAATTTGCATTCCCACCAGCAGTGTAGAAGTGTTCCCTTTTCTCCACATCCACGCCAACATCTCTGGTTTTGGGATTTTGTGATATGGGCTGATCTTACTGGATTATTTATGTATTCTAATTCAAACAGGGGAGTGTACTTCTACAACAGAAATTTGGTGATTACCATGTTAACCCAGTGATCAAACTTAACATCACCAACTTGACATTGTATTCTCTTAATGTGATGCAGTGAGAAATATACGTTACTTATGAAGTGTTCTTGCCAAAAGTATTTAACCTGAATCTAACTGAGCCAAGATTTAACTTCTAATTTGCATGACAAAAAGGAAATATGTTAAATGATACCATATGGAAACACTGAGACAAATCCAAAATAGAAGGTATTCTACAAGACAGCTAGCTAACTCTCTTTAGACAAGGCAGTAGAAAACAAACAAAAAAGATGGGGGAACTGTTCTGGACTAAAAGAGACTAAAGAGACATAACCTAATGCAATGAGTGACCCTTGATTAGATCTTGGAGGGGTATAAGTTTAAGCTGTAAAAGGCATTTTCAGGACAACTGGGGAAGTTTGAAGATGATATGAAATTATTGTTCATATCCTTAGATATGATAATGGTATTGTGGTTATGTAAGAAATGTATGCTGAAGTGTCATGATGTCTGCTACTTTCAAATGACTCCGCATATGTGCAGAGGGCTGGTGTGTATTGTGTAATAAAGCAAATGTGGCCAGATGTTAACTTTGGTGAGTATAGGTGAAGGGCAAATGCATATTTATGCTTTTCTTTCAACTATTCTATAATGTGTAGAAATTTCAAAATTAAAAGTTAGAGAAAAATGTTAAGCTGCCCCATAGTGCATTGGTTCATGTGGAATAGTGAGCAAGCTGTCAGTGGAGAACTAGAGTTTGACTGAGGTTTTTTTTTTTTTTTTTTTTTGAGACGGAGCCTCAAGCTATCCCCCTGGGTAGAGTGCCATGGCATCACGCTCACAGCAACCTCCAACTCCTGGGCTCAAGCGAGTCTCCTGCCTCAGCCTCCCAAGTAGCTGGGACCACAGGCGCCCGCCACAACGACCGGCTATTTTTGGTTGCAGCCATCATTGTTGTTTGGCGGGCCCGGGCTGGGGATTCGAACCCGCCACCTTAGGTGTATGTGGCTGGCGCCTTAGCCGCTTGAGCCACAGGCGCCGAGCCTTGACTGAGTTTTTATCTAAAAGTGAACATCAATCATTCTAAGGCTGGGTTTCTCAATCTTTGCACTATTGACGGTTCAGGCTAGGTAATTCTTTGTTATGAGGGGTTGTCCTATACCTTATAAGATGCTTAGCTGCATCTCTGGTCTCTACCCACTAGATGCCAATAACATCCACCCCCATTTGTAGCCACCCAAAATGTTTCCAGACATTGCCAGATGTCACCTGGGGGGCAAAATGGCTCCCAGTTGAGAACCACTGTTCTAAGGAAGGACTTATTCTTTTCAACATTCACTTTTATCTTATAGTTTGTACCTTAGATTCTCTAAATTGTCCTCTTCTGTTAAAGTAGTTACAGTTATTTCAGGGCAGCGCCTGTAGCTCAGTGAGTAGGGTGCCAGCCACATACACCAAGCCTAGCAGGTTCAAGCCTGGCCTCGGCCTGCTAAACAACTGCAACCAAAAAA